CATCACAACAGGCAGTGGCCTATCTCTCCTAAGACCCAAGAAGCTGTGGGCCAAGGCTGGCTTCCCTGTCTGCAAGATCTGGCAACAATAGCCCTTTTAACCCTGGAAGCCTTAAAGTCACCCTGGGGCAACCTCTGGCTATCTGGCTATCTATATTCCTCACCAGTCATGGAGGTTATGGAAACAAAGGTGATCCACTGGCTGTCAGGTAATAGAATCATGAAGTATCAAACCCTCCCTGAAACTTCAGATTTAACTGTCAATCCTGCCACTTTACTCCCTGAGGCCAGTCTCACAGAACTTGTGTGGAACACACTTGCCTGGAAGTTCTAGGTGATATCTGTGTTGCAAGGTTGGCCCTCCAGGACACCCACTTATCTAGTCTAGTGCTGCCTGGCTCACAGATGGCAGCAGATTTATTCAGGATGGTGTCTGAAAATCAGGTTATTCCACAGCAAGCCTAACATTATCAAAGTTAAACTTCTACTAGGAGGCAAGAGGCGAATCTCTGCTCAAAATGCTGAACACACTGCACTGACCTGAGTCCTAATGCTTAGAAAGGGGTTTCTTCATCTTAAAACGTACACTGACTCCTCTTACGCCTTCCCTATTGTCCATGGAAGAAGACAGACTTACTAGCAACCCAAATAATCCTACTAAAAATTCCAAGGAAATTCTACAATTACTCAAAGCTATAAGCCTACCCTTGAGAGTGGCAATTATACAGTGTAAGGGACCCAAACACCAAACAGATAACAGCAAAATAACACAGAGCAACAATAAAACAGAGCAGGGAGCCAAAGCAGTGTGAGACTCTTGGTCCAAGCATCCTTAAGACCCCATCAAGTAACCACCTCCTAGCTATAAACGCCAAGAACAGGGAGGTAACAAAAAGGGACTATGCCCTTCCCCCCAAAGGCTTGTATACTACCCCTAAAGGCAAAATTGTCTCAACTGGGGCATCTCAGTGGAAGTTTTTATAAGCCCCCCCCCCCATTATTCAACACACCTGAGAGCTAATACCCTCGGGCACTCCTTAACCTTACTCTTTTACAGCATCAGTATTGCTGGTGAGACTTAAAAACACTTTCCTAAAACTGTCCCTCTTGCTCCATATCAAATCCTGAGAGACAGAAGGAGCTCACTCCTCTCCTCGCTCCTGTTAGTTTGGGGATCTGCTCCAGCGCCTCTGAGTCAAGAGCGAAAGTTTCTGTTAGTTCCAGAAAACACCTTTATGGGATGGACCGAGGCTTCTACCAAATCTGAAGATTCCTCCAAGGTGACCACTATCTTTTTTTTTTTTAATTTTATTTATTCATATTGAACTGGGGTACAGGCCAGAGATTCAGGGGTGGCGAGAGGCTTCACCAGAGACAGAGTGGGGAGCAGAATGGGCAGACTGATGAAGTCCACTGCTGAGGGGAGCGGGCAGGTCAGGAGGGGTCTGCCACACCATGTGGGTCACCTCCGGGGCTGGGGATTGAACTCCCACTGAAGCGGCTGCGGCTAGCTTGCAGTGCTGCGTCTTAACCCACTGCGTCACCAGGGAGGGCCGTGACCACTATTTTAAAAACATATACCTATCATCCTCTTTCTTTTTTTAAAGATTTATTTATTCTATTTATGCATACAAGAGCTGGGATGTAGGCCTGACACAAGCTATACAACCTCTGCCGACCAACACGGTACGGATGGAGGGCAAATGCTCTGAAAAAGCAGACTTTCCACGCTAACTTATGTTATGACCTCCCTTTTTTGTATAATCATATCAAAATATTCTGAGCAACCTTCAGTTTACAATTGGATTGCCTCAGCCTCGTAAGGTGCTACCTGGCCCTGAAAAGCAAGCACTGCACCAGGGTGAGAAATTCCTCTTGAAGTCAAAAGTCATTAAACAACTGGCTGATCAATAAAAGCAAATGGCTGTTACTACAGAGTGTCTCTCACTGCCTGGATGGAGGAAAACCAAATCTTATCACTCTATCTCACAGTGCCTTCTATTCAGTTTCTAAATAACCACTCAAGCTTTCTACTATCTAGTCTTTAGATATGGAAATTCACCCAAGTCGCCTATGCAGAACTAATCAGGTTTTCTACTGTCTAGACTTCAAGGAAACTCACTTAAACTTTCTAACAAGTTTTTCAAAGAACTTTACTGTAATTTGATTTACAAGAAATTTCCTCTTCCTGCCCTTACTTTACCCCCTGGATGTCTCTATGAGAATGAAAGCCGTTAAGTAATAGATAAGGACTTTATTTTGGTTAATCTTCACTGTGGTAAATATAGTAATATTAGTCTTAAACTTTGTGAATCTATGTACCTGTTTTAACCTTGATAAGATTGATTTTAAAGCCCCCCCCTGGTGGCGCAGCGGGTTAAAGCACAGCACTGAGAAGCTAAAGCCGCTTCTGCATGAGTTTGATCCCGCCTGCCCCGGAGGTGACCACATGGTGTGGCAGACCTCTCCTGACATGCCCGCTGCTCCCTCAGCAGTGTACTTCATTGATCTGCCTGTTCTGCTCCCCACTCTGTCTCTGGTGAATCCTCTCACCACTGCCCCTACACCTCTGGCCTGTACCCCAGTTCTGTATGCACAAATAAATAACCTTAAAAAAAAAAAAAGATTGATTTTTAAAATGTTATAATCTCAACTAAAGGTCAAAATGACCCCAGACTATTCTTAGAAAAAAGGTGATTGTGATCTCAGCCCATTTCATACGCTAATGTCATCCCTCTGCCTGCTTAAAATGTATAAAATAAACCTCTGCTGAAGGCAGAGCAGGAAGACTTTCACCTAACTCCTATTCCCTTGTCTTCCTTGCACCCGCTCCCCCTTTTTTCCTTTCCTCCCCTTTTCTCGGAATCTCCCTCGATGACGCTGCTCCCACCTTGAGACCCTGCCTGTTCTGTCCCCCATTAATCCATGATCAGGGACAACGAGTCTCCAACATAGGCCAGAGGGGCGGTAAATGAGAAGACTCACCAGAGACAGAGTAGGGAGCAGAACAGGTGGATTTACTAAAATATACTGCTAGTGTGATAGAGGGAAAACAGGAGAAGTCTGCTATGCCATGTGGGCCAGCTGCCAACCAGGACTAAACTCATGCTGCAGTGGCTGGTGACAGTTTGCTAGCAACTCCAACCCCTACGCCACCAGGGAGGCCTTCATCCCTCATTTTAGCCTGCCGGGTCTTTACAATCAGTCATCAAACCGGCCTTCCTGTCTCAAATCACTCAAGGTGTTAGTGCTGTTTTACAAATTAGTTACCAAGGGCATACAGCTTGGTGCCCCCAGTCTTCAGAGGAAAATGGAAAGAGCTAACCAGACTATTATCTCACTAAGCTAACAGAGGAGCCCAACAGTTCTGGGTGGATCACCTGACTGTGGGAGCCCCCAATCAACCCTGGGTAGATTCATAGGCCTTTACAAACCCTCACAGAGTGCATGAGATCTGCCTTGCCTAGGGGAGCCCCAGTGTTCCAATATGGGTTCCCTTGCCTAGGATAATTCTTCTTGTGCCAGTGAGAGATTCATATGCCCTGATAAACTCTCTACTGGCAGTGTGTTTCCTTAACTAGTGGAACCTCTCTTGGGCCTGTGTGGGTTCTTTTGCCTAGGGGAGCCCCACTTCTCCCAGCAGAATTCATAAAATGAACCCCCCCCTCACTGGGGCAGTGTGGGTTCCCTAGTCTAGGGATATCCTTCTTGGGCCAGTGTGGGTCCATAATATAAACTCCCCCAGACCAGTTTTCCCTTATCTAGGGGAACCCCACTTGGACCAGTGGGGGTTCATATTCCCTGATGAATGCTCTGTGGGCCCATTATGTTTCCTGCCTAGAGGAAACCTACCTGGTCCTGGGGTGTATTATGACATGAACCCATCACTGGGCTTGTCTGTGTTGGATCTCATTCAAAACCCACTGGGCTTGTGAGGGTGCAATTACCTAGGTGAACCCTGTGGGGCTAGTGTGGGTTCCTTATAGGAACCCCACTTGTCTTGATGAGGGCGCACTTGTCTAAGTGAAGCTCACTGGTGTGGGCTTTGTAGTAGTGTGGGGTCCTCATGGGAACCCCAGTGGGCTGTTAGAGGTACACTTACCTAAGGAAAACACACTGGCTAGTGAGGGTTTCTCCTAGGAATCCTTCTGGACTGCATGTGGGATTCTCCTGGACCCTTCTGGCTCTAGGGCCTCCCTGGTGGTGCAGGGGTTGAAGTCAAGTTATCACCAATGCTGCTCCCTCAGCAATATATTTTGGTAGATCTGCCTGTTCTGCTCCCCACACTGTCTCTCTCACTCCCCCAACCCCTGACCTCTGGCCTACACACACCACAGTTTTTGTATGCAGAAATAAATAAAATACACCTTATTTTAAAATATATTTATTTATGCATACAGAACCGGGGTACAGGGCAGAGGTGCAGGGGTGGGTGAGAAGATCAACCAGAAAGAGTGGGGGAGCAGAACAGGTTGATTGACAAAATATACTGCTGAGGGGATGAGGGGAGCAGTGGGTAGGTGAGGGGAGCAGTGGGCAGGAGGTCAGGAGAGGTCTGCCGTGCCATGTGGATCAACCCCAGGGCCAGGGATTGAACTCATGCTGAAGTGGCTTTAGCTTCTTTGTGCTGCGCTTTAACCCACTGCGCCACCAGAGAGGGCCAAATCTTATTTTAAAAATAAAGATCTTTCTAGCTCTGACTTCCTACCATGCCCCCACACTACCCTTGAAGTCCAAGGAAACTTAGATGGCTTATTCTGTCTTCCTTCTTGTCCCAGAATCAAAATGTGAATACAGACACACCACAACTAGACCCCTGTCAAGCTACCTCTACTACAAGAAGGGTCATGGGGCCAGCAGCAGCTGCTCTGACCATGCCATGGGACCAGTGGGTGAGTTGGGTGTGGCTGGGGGAGGCCACAAAAGGGAAACAGTACATCATGCTTTATAATTAAACTCAAATCAAAAAATAGAAACAGCATCAATTGTACAGTCAGGCGGCTGGAAGCAGAGAACACAAAGTGCCGGAGAGAGAAGACCACAGTCTGGATCAGATACCCCCATAGGTGGGTGAGCACCCCGATTTCAGGAAGCCCATAGAACATGCTGGGTAATGAGGGCCAGGGCACCTGTGTCTATGTGTATTGTTGGGGGTTTTTCCTGGGCGACAGATTGGGTCAGACAAAGAGGCACAAAGCGTAGCAAAGTCAGGAAGACCTGGGCTTTAATCCTGGCAGCCATGCTTATGGGCTGGGTGATCTTGTGGACATTGCTTAATCTCTTTGAGCCTCAGTTTCCTCACCTGTAAAATGTGGATGATTATATTATCAGACAAGGGTAGTGTGATAGAGTAATAAGAAAATTTAAATACTTAGCCCTGTCTTTTACATAGTACATCCTTAGATAGTGGTGAATATAATTGCTGGACAGAGAAACATCAGGAAACAGAGATAGAAACCAAACCTCATTGTCCTTTGGAGAAGTTATTCTCTACCCAGACCAATGGCTTGGAAGGGTAAGAGCAATAATAACAGTGACAACACTAGCAGGACATAATGTTTATTGGGCACCTATCATGAGACAGCCTGTGAAAGGTCCCTTCTTATTTCATGGCATTCTCAGAGCAATGAAACTGGCTCGGAAAAACAGCAAGCTCAAGTACCAGACCTGCAGGTCTGCCTTCCTCCAAGGCCTGCATGCTGAGTGCACTGGCAGCTCCTCGCGGGCAGCCTGCCTTGCACCCTCTGAGAATTCCCTCACCAGGCACCACATTTGTCTTGACTTGAGGTCTCCAACCCCACCTGTCCTGTGGACACAGTCCTGTTTGGTCTCCCTGGGGAGTAAGAGGCAGAGAGAGTGATCAGGGGAGAGGGCCAGGGGGAATATCTCTTGTAGCTGCAGCTGAGGAGGTGGGTAGCCCACCAGTAACCCCTGCCATGGGGAGGCTGTTACCTTTACCTGAGCTTGTCAGCTTGCAGGGTGCAGTGTTGGGAGGCTGTGGGGAGCAAGAGCACCTGTGAGAGGGTGAGACACAGAGATAACAGGGTGAGCATCACAGAGTGGAAAAGCAATACTAAGACAGAAAACAGGTGTCTGGGGGCCCTCCCTGGTGATGCAAATGTTTAAAGCACAGCACTGTGAAGCTATCTACAGCCAGGGCAGCACAAGTTCGAGCCCAGCCAGGGAGCTGACCCACATGGCACAGCACACCTCTCCTGTATCACCTGCTGCTCCCCTCAGCAGCGTATTTCAGTCAGTCTGCCTGTTCTGTTCCCTCCTCTATTTCTGGTCAATCCCCCTGCACCTCTGGCCTATACCCCAGTTCTTATATGCATAAATAAATAGATATTTAAAACCAAAAGAAAGAAAACAGGTGTCTGAACTTGTAAACATAAATTTATTACAACACAGGAACACAAAAATTACTGCCCACAGAAGCAGCTGTTCAGCTTATGAGGGAAATGCAGAAAGGAGCAGCATGAGGGCTACATAGAGTGAGTAGGGAAAAGGGCCAGGCCTCAACCTTTCCTTACTGGATGTTGCGCTCATGTATCACCCTGCAGTGGCTAAGGAGATGTGGGAAGAAGTATCAGTGGGTTTCTTGGTAGTCATCTTTTGGTGGGGGCTAAAAATCAATGACTCTGCTCCTTGGGTATATCTGGATAAAGGGTGAGTCACTAGACAGTGGGATAGAGCAGTTAGGTGGGGGTACCCATCATGAGCAGTGGGGCCCGAGGTGATATCTGACAAAGAGTACCCCTAAGTTTAAGGAAAAGACCCCATTCTCCAAATCTGGCATTAGAGCTCGTAAGAAGCTGAGGGGTGAGGAGGAGCGTCCAGTTTTTGTCTCCACTAGAGCTTGGTTGTTGCTTGTAGGCACAGCTGGGCTGCGAGGCACCGACTGGCCACTGGGCGGCGGCCTTACCCCATGCCAAGCTTCTTCCCAAAGTCCCATCTGGTACTGCCGGAGGCTCAGGTGGACCCAGCTGGTGGTTCCAGACACAAGTGTGGCTGTTGGATAATCCTGGTGCCTGGGGGCCCTAACCCCGACACACCCTGCAGTTTTCTACCCTGCAGTTACAGCATACCCAATTATTGCTCTCATTCTCAGCTCAGACCCACAGACTTTTTTGCTGAAAATCTAGCAAAGCCAGGATCTTTAACATGAAAAAGAAACTCATTAGAGAGCAAAGACTAGGTCCTAGTCACAGACTAAGTAAGACCTTGTCTGGCTCTCCTCCCTCCCTCCAAAACTCCCTTCCCACACTTCAGGTGGCCTTTTGTCTTCATGGGGATTTCCAGGCCCAAGAATCTTCATTCCAAAAAGATAATAAACAGAATGAACGGGAGGGGTTGAAAGGACTCTGCCCTTGTCCACAATGGCCTAGGTTCACGCTTAGCCCCACTCCCAGGGACCTCAAGGGGAGGAACTGGAATTCTAGGCGCTTCACAACGTTTGCATTCTAAGTGGAACCTACCTCAGCCCTGTTCCGCTGCATGCTGAGTCCTGACCCTACACCCACACCCCTGCTCCCAGTCCCAGACAATGCCCTAGGTAGGTGGCAGGCCGTAGCCTGCCCTGAGAGGTCAAGGTGGGAGATGAAGGGGAAAACTGGGTCTTCACTCCCGCCCTGCGCACCAGCAGCCCACTGGGTGAGCTTGGCCAAGCCCGTGGCCTCCTGGGTGCCTATTTCTCTTTCTGGTCCTGGCACTGCCCACCAAAGTAAAAAGACAGTCTTCCCAGTTTGTACCTTCCCTAGTCACTGGTTGAGGGGATCAGGGACAGTTAGCCAAGAGAAGTACTCCTTCCCAACACAGCACCAGCCCCAGGTTCTGGTGCCACCGCCATCACAGCTCTGCCGGGTCTCGGAATCCCTCAAGCAGCTGACTCCTGACCCAACCCAGCTCAGCAGGATGAGGCTTGACCTGAAACACGGGCCTGAGACATGGGGGTAAGGAGGAAATTCCCAGGGGCTAGGGCTCACAGGACCACCACCACCAGGCTTAGTGGAAGGCTTAGTGACCACTCTCTGGTGTCCCTAAAGATAAGTAGAAGGCAGCAACTGGAAGGCGGACAGAAGCCAAGACGCAAAGAGTGGGTTAAAACCCCAGACTTGCTACTTATCAGGCATTTGGTTTTGAAAGTTATTTTAAAAATTTCTCTGAACTTCCTCCAGTGTAAATAAAGAGACCCCGCCGAGTGAGGCACCAATCCCCCATAAGACGCATTAGCTTTAGTCCGTGTTAGCTTTACTCCATATGGAAATGCTAGCAGGTATCAGTGACTATTCCATTCCCTCACCCTAGGGAGGGGCAGCCTCCATGCACCTGAAAATGGGAGGGGCTGGGGGCCTGGGGACCTCTGGAGAAGTAGCAGCAGAGGAGGGAGCTCGAGATGAACTGCCCAGATTGTGGGGCCTTCCACAGTACCCTCAGAGGGACACAGTCATCTGAGATCTCCATCCCTACAAAGCCCCAGTGACTTAGGGGTGCGTTTGGCACTGACTGGTTACCACAGCCAGGGAACTCCAAGGGCCCCTTGGCCAAAGCTCCCAACAACAGGGCAGGGGAGAAGGTGTCCCAGCTCGAAAGCATTGGCAAGGAATTGACTCCCTTGTTACCTGGAATAAGGGTCTAGGCCTCAGTTGAGCTGGTTAATAACCTCATCTGAAAGAGTTGAGGTCCTTCCCATGCATCCCAGTGGCAACTGGGCCATGCCTGGGGTTGCCTGCCAGCTGGACTGCCTGTGGGGATCGTGCCCCTAGCCATCTTGGTGTTCACTCTGTTTTAGGATGGACTCGCTGCAGAAGCAGGACCTTCGGAGGCCCAAGATCCACGGGGGGGTCCGAATGTCCCCCTACCAGCCACCCACTCTGGCCTCGCTGCAGCGTTTACTATGGATTCGTCGGACTCCTACATTGAGCCACATCAATGAAGTCTGGCCCAACCTCTTCCTGGGAGATGCGTGAGAAAATCTCCAGGGCGGGGGGAGGGGAGTGGAAGGAGCAGGGTTGGGGAGACTCAGGAGCCCTGGAGAGCAGAGATGGCATTCTCTTTGCCTCCTTTCTTTTATCTTTCCACATTTTCATTTTTAAAATTTTTACTTATTTATTTGTATGTAGAAGAAAATAAATTGCAGAGTTGCAGAGGGAGTGAGAAGATTCACCAGAGACAGTGGGGAGCAGAACAGACAGACTGACTGAAATACACTGCTGAGGGGAGCAGTGGACCAGTCCGGTCTGCTGTGCCATGTGGGTCAGCTCCCTGGCTGGGGGCTGAATTCAGGCCATAAAGTGATAGTGCTGAGACTTCACCTCTAAGCTGCTAGGGAGACCCCTACCTTCCTTTTCATTGTGGAGATAGAATACACATGGGAAAACTACACAGAGCATTTCTGAATAGTTGCATCACCCAGATAAAGAAATAGGACATTACTTGTACCTCAGGGGTGCCTCCTATACCCTTATCATCATCATCTGTTTTTCCTGTAGATAACTACTTAGAGTTGAAATAATTACTTCCTTGCTTTTCTTAACAGTTTTACTACATATATACTTAACATTGTATTTTTGCCTGTCTTAAAATTCTATAAATGGACTCATATTTTGTGCCTGGCATTATTTGCTCAAAATTTTACCATTCACCCATGTTACCATGTGCAGCTGCCATTTTCATTGCTCTACAGTGTCCTATGGTGGGAATGTATGGTGGCCCATCCATTCTGCTGTGTTACAGAAATTTGAGTTTTCACACATTTTGGCTATTATGGATAGTGATCTTAGGAACTTTGCAGTAATGTGTTCTGGGAAAATACACAAGTCACTCTATGTACACAGAAAGATTAGGATTGCGAATCATTTTGCCAGTAAAAGTTAACTTTTCCTTAAAAGTTAGAAAATATGGGTCAACATATAAAGTTTAGAAAATTTCCTTATAATTTAGAAAATATGAATCAGTGAGTTATCAGCAGTAGGAAAAAATGCCTCACATACACACAACCAGTCAGAAAAATCCTAGTTGACATTTTAAAAAATGCATGTGGAACTATACACAAATATGCTTTTTCATAATACTTATTTTTACAAAAACATCCTCTTCCCAATCCCCCTTCATAATTTGCTTTATTTAGAAAGCTTTTAAACTATTCACACTACATATTTTTAAAGCATTTTTAAGTGTTCTGCCTTTTAGTCTACATTTCATAGGTTCCCAATATAGCACACTCCCTTATTTACCTGCATCTACCACATGTTAGTGGTTGTGTAGTATCTTGTTAAGCTTATTCAATCTCTTATTTAACAACATTTCCCCATTTTTTTACTATCTTAAATATATTAGATCCAGTTTACATATGTCCATGGGTGCATGCTGTATTCTTTAAGTTCCTGGAAGGAGACTGGCTGGGGCAAAAAAATGTACATATCTAGGGCTTTTGATGCATGTAGCTAAATTGCCTCCAGAAATGTTAGCCTGAGTGAAAGGGGATCCTGAGTGAAAGGGGATCCACTAGAGGACCCCCTTCCCCCCAGGCCAGGTCAAGATTCCATTTCTCTCTCCTTTGAGGGGAACAGCAGAGGAGGGAAGAGGCTGGGGCCATGCCAGCCCAGCCACAGCTGACCCAGCGAGATCTCCCTCCTACCCTTCAACTCCCCCTGTGCTCTCCCTCCAGGTATGCAGCCCGAGACAAGAATAAGCTGACCCAGCTGGGCATCACCCATGTGGTGAATGTCGCTGCGGGCAAGTTTCAGGTGGACACAGGTGCCAAGTTCTATCGTGGAATGGCCTTGGAGTACTATGGCATCGAGGCCGATGACAACCCCTTCTTTGATCTTAGTGTCTACTTTCTGCCTGTTGCTAGATACATCCGAACTGCCCTGAGTGTTCCCCATGGTGAGCCAGGGCTGGGGGTGGAGGTGATGGGTAGGATCTGGGCCTACCCATTTTTTCAGTAGCATGGATGGGTGTCCAGTGCCATACATCCCTTCTGTAACCCTCAAACTCCACGGGGCAATTAGTTATTACCACTTAATGGGCATTCCCTTCAGGACCAACATGGAAACCAACAAACACAGATATTGCTAAGGTCCAGTGTGGGTGTTAGTGTAACCATATCCCTCAGTCAGAGGCTAGGTATTAGACAGAAGGTATAAGACCTAGCAAAGGCTTCTGCCAGGCTCCTCTAAAATGAAGGCTTGGCACGGGGTTACAGGGGCAGAAGAAAGGGTGGAACTGTGGGGAGGGAGAGGAGGGCAGTAGTCAACACCCTCTGTTACAAACCTAGAGGACTCCAGATATACTGCTCCTCCCCACCATCAATATTGCAAAGTAAGCCAGAAGAAGCACATTCAGTCAGGTAATGGGAATGCCAGCTACTAACCTTAGCTCTGCCACTAAATTGCTGTTCTATCTTGAGCCAGTCTCTTCCCTCTCTGGACCGTAGTTGCCCCATCTGACAATGAAGACAGTGTCAGTACTCCAGGATGCTCTGGTAGGGCTGAAAAGGTGGCCAGGAGCATCTTTGATTCCCAAAGGGGTGGGTGGTGCAAGGGCAGGTGACTGATACTGGGTTGGGTCTCCCTGCAGGCCGAGTGCTGGTACACTGCGCTATGGGTGTGAGCCGCTCTGCCACAGTGGTCCTGGCCTTCCTCATGGTCTGCGAGAACATGACATTGGTGGAGGCCATCCAGACAGTGCAGGCCCATCGCGTTATCTGCCCCAACTCGGGCTTCCTCCGGCAGCTCCAGGTTCTGGACAACCGACTGGGGCAGGAGACAGGGCGCCTGTGACCTGGTGGGCATCCCAGCTAGCATGGCCTGACACAACCTGTCTGGCCCAAGGGACAGTAGCCTCTGCTGTTTCCAGTAACCTTGAGATGTAGCTAGCATGTGAGCACACAGCTGAGGCAGAGGTAGGGACAGTTGGGTAGTGACCTTCAGCAGGTGGATTTCCCTGACCCAGTCCAGAGATTTCTTTATGCAAAAGAGTTCAGTCTGTCTCTATAATAAAAGTTGATCATAATAAAGACTGGAGATCCTCTGGTGGTTTGTGGGCTAAGGGCTTACTCCCAGAAGGGTCACAAATTTGAGATGGGCTGCCAATTATTCAGCATGATGGCAGCCTAGGGAAGGAGGGTGAAACCCTGTCAAGGCTTTTCTAAGGAGAAAGCCAGCTCCAGTAGTGACTCTGCCTTGTTTGCAAGAGACAAGCATAGGGTACACGTGCTGAGAAGTAGCTGACCTTTTCTTCAGCTTGTCATCAGTCAACTGTTGCCCAGGAGCTAGGTAGTCTGAATAAAGACCAAAATTCAATGCCCCACCATCCTCTCCAATCCATTCTGTCAAAAACTACCAAAGCTCCTAGATCCAATCTTTTCATTTACACTCTGTTTTCAAAAGGGATGGACTAAAATTACAAACACTTAGATAACAAAGGTGGATAGAGCCAGAAATCTAGGTGAAGGATAGTTATATGATGGAGCAAAACATTCAGTTCTGTTTTCATAGTTCTTATGCCCTAATAAAACATTATAAAAAGTCTTCAGGTGCCCTACCTGCAGGTGGTACAAGGCAGAATAAGGAGCAAATGGGCTGGTTCCCTCTTACTGCTGCTCTTTCTCTCTTGCCGCCTCCAGCAGATCCTCAAATGTCAGTGTTTCTCAGGTTCTGGTCTCTGTCTCCTCTCTCTCCAGTGTGATCCTCCAGGTGATACTCATGAAGGAGCACCTTGCTCCCATCCACAGCCTCCATTCACCTTTAGGCTGAAGACTGCAGAACGGCCAATTCTCTCTTGAGCTCAGCCATAGTACCCTATTGGCCTCCTCTATCTAACTACTATATTTGATCTTCAAACTCAACTGAACTTTTCATCCCCCCACCCAGGCCATGCCTCTTCCTTGCCCTGCATCTTAGTAAAGGATTGTCAATGTCATTGTTACCCAAGTTAGTGATAGGTGTCTCCCTGGACTCCTGTCTTTTCTCTATTATCTTATGGATTCTACCTCCTATAAATATTGCCTTATCTGCTCACTTAGTTACATCTCTGGGAATATTCAAGTTAAAGCCACCTTCACTTCTCACCTGGATTCTTGCAACAGTCTCTCTGCCTTGCCCCTGTATGCTCCATGTGGCATGCAGATCTTACTACAATGAAAGGCTGATCACATATATCCACTGCTTACAACTCCTAAAGTACAAAGACCTTAACAAAATATAAAGATGCTTCATGACCCGAGACCTTCTGATTATCCTCTGCCATATCTCTTCATTCTCTTGTAATTCCCTATCAGGTGATTTAAGCAGCAAATCTACTTGCAGGTTCCAGACTGCCCCATGCCCTCATCTCTGGCTTTTTGCACACACTGCAGGTCATGCCACCTGCATGCCCCGCTCTTACTGCTTTTCACTGGGGTCTCATTGAGGTCTCAGTTTAGATGTCACTTCCAAGAAGCCCTCCTGGTTCCCAAACCTGATGGAAGTGCTCCTCCTCTGCTTACCAAAATGTCCATTCACTCTTGGAGATCGCCTGCTACTCTACTTAAAATTGCCTGCTTGTCCTGTCATTCTCCTCCAACTGGCCATTTCTGGCCAGACTTTCCTGGGCTACAACACTCTGGCTATGACCTGCCCCCAGAGAGAGCTCTGACTCTATGTACCATAGATTAGGACCATAGACACTAGATCCTCTTTTCAGAAGCCAGAGGATTGGTGAAGGCAGGCGATCCCAGTTGGCCCCTGAAGACATCATCTCTCTGCTCCCATTTGTTACCCTGCATACAGCATCTCACCATTTGACACATTTCCCAGTAGATATTGACCCCATGGGTCACCTTTGATTCCCTTTCGCAGGGCCAATCTGCCCTCTTCTGATGGCTTAAGGGACCTTTGTCCTTCATTGCTATCTGGCCTCTTTCCAGAGAGCAGGTGCTTTTCCTTGGTGCAAATCAAAAATGCCCCCCCCCCCTTTGGACACATTAGCCTTTGAGGAAGAAGCGCTCCTGGGTATGCAGTTTAGTCGAGGAAAAGGCGTCCCGTCCTCCCAAGTGAATGTAGCTCCAAGTCAGGGTGCCCAACTGAGCAAACTGAGCATAGGTTGTGTTTTAGGCCCTATTCATGTCTTCTGCAGCACAGAAACTGCAGAAACAAATGCCACTTTGAGACATAGGGATTAACATCCCTATTTTACAGGTGAACAAACTGCTAAGGCTCAGAGAAGATGATATGAGGCTGGAATGTCGCCTCCTGGATCCAGGATCTCTGGGCTCAGGCCTCAAAGGGCAGGTACTTCCCAGTTAGCTCCTCTGCTCCACTCCCTGAGCACCTGGTCCCTCTCTCAGCTCCTGCTGGCTGCCTTAGCTGCACTCTGGGCAAACCTGCACCCCAACTGGAGGATGATAGAAGGGTTGGCGCTGCCATGCCTGACCAGGCAACATCCCTTTCCACTCCAGACCATGGAAAACTGTTCTCAGTTCTCCCTTAGCTTGGAAGGGCCTATAATTTTCCAGAATAAAGTAGTCCCTGCTCAGTAGTCCAATCTGGACATTACCCATTCCCCCTCCTATCTACAACTCAGCCCTTGCTGCCTGTCAGAAAGACCCAGATTAGGAGTGCCAGAAACCACTCTCTAATTCAGTACCTGGGTCCCTGAATGTGGGCACCTGCCCCTGTTGGCTGGGACGGGGTTGCCACAGGCTGGAACAGAGCTGTATCCTGGACTTGGGGCTTGAATTAATCCCTGAGAAGGAAGATGGTGGAGAAGCCAAAGATTTCCCAGAGCACCTGAGGAAACAGGTTGAACTCCAGGTAACACTTCTACCAGGAAGTCTTCCTGTCTGTCACACTTGCCCTGGGAAATGTGAGATGCATCTATTCTTCCTCTTCTCCAGGGAAACCTGAAAGGAGTGGGGTATTGTAAAGAGCATAACTTTGGAGCCAGATTCCTTGGGTTGAAATTCTATTTCCGCCCCTTACCAGGTGTGTGACCTCAGTTAATCTCTCCATACCTCAGCTTTCCCATCTGTAACATGAGAATAATAGCCAGCATAGAGCATTGCTGTAAGCTTAAATTGAGCACATAGAATAAATCTGTACAAGATGTAGAAAGTTCTGCAGAATGAGAGCTGTGATGATAGCACTGGGGCTCCCATCCTCCTTACGCACCCAGACTTGGACTCAAAGTAGGCAGCACTGTGAGAACATTGGATGAAACATTAAAATAAACTAAATGCAACAGGATATTCTGGATTAGATTGTGGAACAGAAAGAGTATCTAAATAGAAAAACTGTTGAACTATGTAAAAAGTCTGTGGTTTCATTAAGAGTATCAGGCCAGTTTTAGTTTTCTTTGATAAATGCACCATGGTTATGTAAAAAGGTAAGATTAGAGGAGGTTAGGTGAAAGGTATATAAGAGATCTCTCCACTGCCTAACTCTTCTGAAAGTCTAAAATCATTTCAAACTGGGAAATTTAAAGACATTGATAATAATTACTGACCACTCTGCACATACCAAGCTCTATTCTAAGTGCTTTTGATAAAGCATTTCCTCGATTTTTCCATTTACTCTATTATGTCTTGTTTCTTTAAAAGAGATACAACTCAAATATTCCAAAATATTAAGATCTGCCCTATTACGCTGTGGAAACTTAGGTGTTCACTGTATTTTGTATTCTTAAAACATTTCCAAATAAAATAAATTGACTAATTTCTTTCAATGAGAAACATCCTACTCTTTATACTTAGGTTTTAAGAGCCATCAGCACACAGATTTTAGGAAGGATTCTGAATTAAAATGGTACCATTATTACTGGCTTCAGGCCTAAAATACTATAAATTTGTGTTATCCTTTTAAAACCCTCAAGAGCTTTATTGTACATAATCTTGCTTTCAAGAAAAAGGTAACGATGATTTGGTTTATAGTGTTTAGATGAAATAACTGTGATCAAAAGGAAGGTAGGCCATTAATGAAGCTATACAATATTATGTTTAATGCTCTCACCCACTGACATGGGTCTTATCATCACAGTTTACAGATGAGAACAAGGGGCAGAGAGATTAGGCCAGACAGCAGCTGACTTTAAGTGACAGCATATTATAGGATAGTACATGAGTCTAGGTCAGCTAAAGCTCTCACAAACAAAGCTTTTTTCTGAAGTGAGCATGGATGATATCAAGGCCCGATATATTACCTTACTCTAACTGTATGGGCCAGAACTCAGTCACACGGTCACGCCCCACTACAGGGAAGCCTGGACTATGCAGTCAAGCAGGGTACCTAGAAAAAAGGGGAAACTCTAGACACTTGTAATCATAACTAGGCTTTTCCACAGCTGATGTTGATATGAGATACAAAGAATCATCTAATTCACACAAACCACAAAGGTAGATACTTACATTAATATTCCCATCTTACAGATGTGGAAACTGAGGCTCAAAGGATTTAAGTCAACTTTCTTAAGGTCACTTAACTAGGATTGGGAGAATCCTTCTGTAAACTCAGTCAGTAAGCTGTGTTCTTCAACACTTCCTGAGCATCATTTTGTGTTGGCCTTAACGACTTGTATGCCAAAAGAATTTGTGGCAGAAGCAGCTTTCTGAGGCTTCTGAGGCTGGGTCACAAATGCCTTGCAACTTCTGTCTGGGTCTCCTGGAATACTGGGCACCCTGAGCTGCCATACAAGAAGTCTGATTACCCAAGTCCACCCTGCTAGAGAGGCCACATGTCCTAGATGAGTTCAGACTCCAGTCCCTGCCAAGGCACTAGATATTTGAATGGCTCCTTCTTGGACCCTC